GAAAAGCAAAGTGAGGAATTACCAGTCCCTAATTCGTTCTATCTATCTATCTATCTATCTATCTATCTATCTATCTATCTATCTATCTATCTATCTATCTATCTATCTATCTATCTATCTATCTATCTATCTATCTATCTATCTATCTATCTATCTATCTATCTATCTATCTATCTATCTATCTATCTATCTATCTATCTATCTATCTATCTATCTATCTATCTATCTATCTATCTATCTATCTATCTATCTATCTATCTATCTATCTATCTATCTATCTATCTATCTATCTATCTATCTATCTATCTATCTATCTATCTATCTATCTATCTATCTATCTATCTATCTATCTATCTATCTATCTATCTATCTATCTATCTATCTATCTATCTATCTATCTATCTATCTATCTATCTATCTATCTATCTATCTATCTATCTATCTATCTATCTATCTATCTATCTATCTATCTATCTATCTATCTATCTATCTATCTATCTATCTATCTATCTATCTATCTATCTATCTATCTATCTATCTATCTATCTATCTATCTATCTATCTATCTATCTATCTATCTATCTATCTATCTATCTATCTATCTATCTATCTATCTATCTATCTATCTATCTATCTATCTATCTATCTATCTATCTATCTATCTATCTATCTATCTATCTATCTATCTATCTATCTATCTATCTATCTATCTATCTATCTATCTATCTATCTATCTATCTATCTATCTATCTATCTATCTATCTATCTATCTATCTATCTATCTATCTATCTATCTATCTATCTATCTATCTATCTATCTATCTATCTATCTATCTATCTATCTATCTATCTATCTATCTATCTATCTATCTATCTATCTATCTATCTATCTATCTATCTATCTATCTATCTCACTCAAAGCAGCCTTAGATCTTGATAGACATGTCCCTAGCTAGGTCTTCTCCAACCAGTGGTGCATTGTCCATCCAGCTGTGCGGAGACTTCTACAGTAACCGTCCAGCTTTCGGGATTTTGAACTATCCGTCTGACACACGACCTGCCCACCCCCTGAGCCTGGGTTGCTGGCTGTGGTAGGAAACAGAGATGCCTGTGTCCTGTATTTGGAGGAGTATATGGGCGATCCTGACATTTCCTCTCTCTCTCCTCCACGTGCAGATGCACCGTCTTTGCACTGAGTTTGAACATGCAGGTGCAGATACGTCTCTCCTCCCCCATGGCCTTCCTCTTGCCCCTTGGTCTCAGGCTCACGAGTATAGCTTTAGGGTTTGGCGTAGAGCTTCTGGGGCTTTGGGGTGAATAGGGGAGTCTTAGCAATGGGGACTCAGTGGGTGTTATCTAGGGGCCTGTGACTATCTGTAGCCACCCCTAGAACAGGACTATGATACATTTCATGCAAAAACCTGCCTTGGAAAGTGTAATGGGTCCACCTGATGGTGAGCGCCCCCCTGTGGTCAAGTGACGCCGTGCAAGGTCCTTGCCTGGTCCTCGGGTTGCCTTCAAAGTCCTGAAAGCCAGGGCTGACTAGCTCTGTCCATGGTGCTAGTCGCTGGTCTTTGGCCACTGGCTCTGGACCTTACCCAGATCTAGGCTCGGCTCACACCGGGAGCTGTCCATAGTGCTGATCTCCCAGTCAGGGTAGAGAAAGGAACTGCCAGGCTCCGCCTCCCAAACTCTTTTATACCCCTCCGCTGGGTCCTGATTGGCTGCCGCAGAGACAGCCACTCTATACTGCCTGGAGGACCTCTTCTCCGCTCCTACTGCTGGGATGGGGTGTGGCAAGGCCGCTATCCTTCAGTAAGGGGTATTGGGGGCTAGTCCAGCCCAGCACAGGAAGGCTCATCTCAAAACTCATAATTTGCTGATTGTCATTGCTCTGGAAAATATGTGTAGCATTGTCATGGCTCCTTCCCCACTCTGGCACAATAAATGCAGACGTGGGGGCCAGCAGAAGTACCCCAAAACCTTATTTTCCAGGCTTTGGTATAAAACTTCCCCCCAAAATCTTAAAAAAACCAAGATTTTGGGGATAAAACCTGCTGCCACCACCCAATGCTAAGAAAATCAGGAGAGAGATCACTTGGGAAACGTCACCCCCTAAAGTACAAACCAGGACACAACAATTAACCAATACCAGGTTAATAAAAGAAAAGAGAGAACTTTTATTATCACCACAATATTCCTGTTAGAAGAATGACTAGATGGAAAAGTCATAAAGTAATATACTCATGGGGGGAACCCCACCATGGGCCCAGAACTTAGTTACAAAGAAGAGCAAAATATTTTTGGATCCACAATCGTCCATTGAGAGCCGTTCCTGAACTCTTCAAGGTCCACGCTTCAGCAACGCACATGCACAAAGACATTGCTGGGTCCACTTAGGTCAATGTAGGATTCCTGCCGACGAAGCAATTCCTGTCTAGATCCATTGACAGTTACAGATAGCACGTGGACCAGTTCTAGAGGGATGTCCATACATAGCCATCCATTCTAGACCCCTCCAGAACAACGCCATTCGTTTCTAGACCCATCTCCCCTCCTTGCCAGGGCTGGACACCTGCCCACTAGCTGTACCCTGCAGGTCTCTGCAGTAGGGAGTGATCCAATGGGCTCCAAGGTCACTGGCGGATGGGTGGGGACATCCAGAACTGCCCCCTGGCAGAGGTGGGTTGGAGGAAGAGCTGGAGTGTTCATGCTTCCTCTTCCATTCATATGAAACCCCCCAAGGACGAGGCACCTTCAGTGACAGGGAGGGGGCAGGGCTGGGGATCTCAGGGCAGCTTGAGGTGGGTAATCCAGCCCCCACATGCTCCTGTGCATCCCCACATGGTGAGGGTGGCCATGGGGCTAAGGCACAGGGATGGGACCCAAGAAATCTGGAACCATTCTTCAGCTCAGCCCAGGTTCACTCTGGGTCTTGGGAGGGGGGAGTGTCTCTGGATTGGGGAGTTGCATGGAGTCCTGATGGGAGCTGAACAGGTCCGGCCCTGAAGCAGGTTTAGGAACAGTTTCCCCGTGCCTCAGTTTCCCCATCTTCACAATGAGAAGGATGACTCTCCCTTTGTTTGTACTGGACACTTTTTTGCAGGGCAGCTAGTGGGTGAGGGCAGTGCCCGGTATCACAGGGTGATCTCGGCTGTGGGGCTGCCCCATTGCAAATGAGAGGAATCTGCTAAGGTGGAAATGGGACCATGTGGGTGGGAACATCTGTCTCGGGACGCAGCAGAGGCAGAAATTGAAGCGGGATCTGGTTTTGGGGAGCTCAGGGGATGAGGCTGGAAGGTCCCCATGGTCCCTCCTGGCCCGGAAGTGGGTGGCTTTGGCCAGCAGCCTGCAGAAGAGCTGGGGGGTGTTTCTAGCCCCCGTTGCAGGGCTGAGCTGTGTTAGCCACATTCCCAGCTGGGCCTGGCATGCAA